CCCCAAAACCCCAAAACCCCATCAATATCAAATAGTGATTAGTCAATGAAACAAATAATCTCAAGTGAAATTACAATTAGTGTACTAAATTTAAGGATATCTCAATCGTTAATTATTATTTAAAAATGATAAGAATACCAACTTTATAAATCTGTTTATTCTCTACTTCTTTAATATTGAGGGCAATGCTAACCTAATCGTGTAAATTTTTGATACATCTGAAATTTTAGGTTGAGAAGGGGAATATCTAGATTTGGAATCTAGTAGTTGTCAAAGTAAACTAATTATTACATTTCAAATATTCAAACTTTTAGAATGTCATAATGCAGTTTTTGGCTGCCTTTCATGCTTATAAATAAAAACAGATTAAGGTGAAAGTAAGACTCAATGTCTAAGTTGCTTAAATGGTTTTTTCCTTCTATAAGGCTAAAACAAAAATTAGAACTTCAATCTCTGCACTCCTAACTGCTAGAGTACTCACAGTTCCTTCATAAATGGATAGAGTGAATCTGATTGTATATGTAAAATCATTTTAAGGATATTTTCATTTAGCTTGTGGAGACAATTGTTAAGCTTGCAATTAAAACATCGGTTGTGAGATTTGTCCTGGAGAGGTTTAAGAAAAAGGTTGGGTAAGAGCAATTAAAAATGAAAATCGCTCAACTTAAAAAACCATAAAATTATGCCAAGGTATATTTCTTCAAATTAACATTTTTAGAATGTTGAACTGGATATGAGTGTAATAAATGCTCCACAGATGATTCAACATAATGTAGGGTGTGTAACTTCCCTGTTAATTAAAAATCTATACTGACTGGAGATTCTGAGAATCCGTGCAGTAAGACATATTTTATCAAAGATTTGAATAGGTCCTTAGACACAGTCTTTATACAGTTCTGATAGGAACTGTTTGATATTTGACTATGAAAATTAATAAAATTGCTTGAAATGTAAAGATGGATACTATTTAGCTCAGAAATCGCTCTTTAATGAGACAATTTAAAATTATCAAGACATTTGTTTGTAATATAAACATATTTTAGTAGTAATATTTAGTTTATTATTCATGAATACTTGTAGGAAAATTAAAGCAATGTTTGTCTTGATGCAGTGACTGAATAAGATTGTAAAACATGTATTTATGGTTTCAGTCTATTTACTAATGCTGATGGAAACAAGTAATGTTTACGTAAGAAAATTAAGTTCTCTATTCTAACTTTATTTAAATTACTATCTTCAATATCAAAAGTTTTCAATAATTACTAATTTATTATTTAATAGAATGTGAAACCATCGCAAGCAACTCATAAGACTTTGATGATTCTTTTCCTATAAGATGCAATTTTTCTGTTGATATCTAGACAGGCTTACCCAAATAGGATTAAATTACTGCTTGCTCAGATGGATTTTTTGATTCTCTAGAAAATAAGTGCACCGAAAATTGTGGCATAGGGAGATATGGCTAAGCCATCTATAATGACAGAGGTATGATTGAGACTTCAGTCTGTAATACTTGTGATGATAATTGCTTTGAGTGTGCTTCTTAATCCTAATGCATTTCTTGCAAAAAGGGATATTATTTAAAAACTGAAACAAATTAGGTAACAACAGGCTAATGTGCAAAAAAATCAGGAAATGGTGAAATAACCCTTTATGTGGACAGTAGCTATTTTTTAAAAACAACTGAGGAGACTACTGGTATGACTCTTGATGATCCATTTTATTCACTTCAAAGTGCAATAATTAAAGCTAATGAATTAGGAGCTGCTTACGATAGCGCTATAGTAAATATATTGCTAGTATCTTAAAAAGTTCATTCAATGCTAAGGTACGATGAAAATATAATTTTACCAAAGGCATATGACTAGAATTCATAATCTACTGTAATCAAAATAGATTCTATTGACGGTACTCAAGTAAAAGTTCTTTATAAGCTCAGGGATAAATATAATTTCTTAGTTGGAGGAGGGTTAGAGATAAGAAATATAGCATTTGATGCAACTGATTCAATTTTGGATTCTAGATTTACAAGTTTAAATATCTCTCATATTAATTCAGATGAATACCAATGCTTGAAAGATCCATAAAGTAATTGTTGCAATATTTCAAAAGATTAATCTAATGGGAAATACATAATAAATGGACCTTTATTTTGCTAACTCTAAGTAACACCGTAAGTAAAACTAACTTTATGCTTAATCTTAAAAGGGATGATTAGTGTCATTTGCCGATTGGTGGCTCATTGATATAATTTGACATATCTAGTTAAACAGTTCTGGCTTCACCTTAAATACTCATTCTAGAGGTATGATATATTTTAACTCTAATGTATATAGAATGTTATTTTTGAAAATTTTATCTACGATTTCAACACTATAATAGAATTAAATGATTTTGGAGGACATATGACTATGATTAATACTAGTTTCATCAATATTAATTCTTGTGGAAGTGTTATTAGAAACAAAAGAATAGATCAAATTTACGACTAACTTGAGAAGAGTTTCCTGACCTCTAAATTATTGAAATCGTTCTAATTAGTAAGAAGTAAACTACCGAACTAGGATATTTTCTCAAATATATGTGATCAAACTACTATTAAACCATGCTTTAGTTTAAACATATCAGGAGGTACAATTAAAGACTTTGGTAGAATGACAGAATTTTCTCAAACTCCGATATGGGTTAATCCAAAATTAAAAATGAAAAATGTAGGGTTATTTTTAGATTTGGAAAATTTTTCGGGACCTATTTAAATTGAAAATGTTGATTTTATAAACAACCTTTGTATAAATCTTGACTATGGCCAAGCAAAGAAAATCCTTTAGAATTATAAACAAGACATAGATTAATACTAAAATTATGGAGATAATTCTGCTATTCAAGTCAAATCATTGATATCAATAGTCAGCCATGGAGATTATAAGGTTCATATAAAAAATAATAAATTCTTCTAAAATACAGGTACAAAAGGAGTTTTATATCTTGACATGAATGATAGAAGTGAGGAGAATAAATTATTGATTGAGTCAAACGAATTTTACAATAACTTTGGAATGATTTAAAGCAATGCTCTATTTATACGATCAAGAGGTAAATAAGACTAAGAAGTCTACAATTAATTACTTAATACCTAACAAGATTATTGCTTAGGTTATGAAATAAGGAATAATACATTCAGTAAAAACTTTGGATTCTAGGGGATTTCTGGTAGTACCATACATTTTGAATGTACTAATTATTAAATTCAAGAGGATGCTAAAGGGATTATTTAAATAGGATAATTTTATGAATATGACGACAGTAAATAAAATTAATTTTCAACAGAGGATCTAGAGTTTGAAAACTATAGTTTGACTTTAGATGGTAATACCTATATTGACAATTCTGCATCAAAATAAAGCGGTATAATAAGCATCATAAATGTTAAAAAACTAAGGATATAAAATGAAGTATTCCTAAATAATACTGATGCATTTAAATAAAAGTCGGCATTACTTGCCAGAAATATATTCTAAAATTATTTGTCCCAGGATATAAATTAAGAAATAAGCATAAATGACTTCGATTCTGATCAAAATCTTGCCATTTCACTAATTTCTATTGAGAGATCAAGATATGTATATTTAAATTCAATAAACTTTGACTCTAATTACTTAATAGAACCAGAATCAAGCTCTTATAGAGCTTAGGCCATTTATCTTAGAGATGTAGTAGGTGTTATGATAATCAATCAAATATCTTTTTAAGGAATGAGAGGTCCAATTCAATGGCTTTAATCAGAATACATAGACTAAAATAATAATTATGCCACTAATATTATGGATGGCAGTTTACTAAGCTTAATTCAATCAAATATTAATTCATAATAGCTAGGTAATAGTAACTATGATAATTTAAGAATAGAAAATGTAGCTTTCAAATAAAACAGTCAATCAAACATTGACAGCTTTATTGGTATCCCGCTTAAATCTATGCTACCATAATCTCAAGTAAATTTTTATAACTTAACAGTAAGTGGCCTTAAATGCTATGATTGCAATATTCCTTTTATTTCCTTGAATAACTCTAATGTTCTCTTAAATAGTTCAGAAATTAATGATATATCTTTCTAAAATGCCATAGAAGTTGAATCTGAGTCAAGTCTGATTACAATTGAAAATTATGATAACTTTAATCTAGCTATTGAAAATTGCCATTTTGAAAATATAAAAACTGGTGCTTTTTCTAACTTGAAATTAATTTAGGTCGTCAATGATTTTTAATAAGAAGCGAATATTACTTTAAAGAATACTTAGTTTTTAAAACTTGATTTTAATAATACTGATGGATCTATCTTTGGAATATAAAGTGGCACTTTTCTCAACTTAAATGCAAATCAATGTGTGTTTAGTGAAATTAAAAACTCAACAAACGCGGGCATATTATTTGCAAATCTCCAATTGGGTATAAATATAGTGATCACTGATTCATTTATAAATAATATAGTGTCTTTTGATTAAGGAGGAATATTAAATCTATAGGCTTCAAGCATTTACTTAACAATTAAGAATACTCTAATTTAGATAATCAGAGCAAATGGAAGAGCTCCATTATCTATAATTTCTTCAGATTCTATTAACATTTAAGTCAACAACAATACCCTAATCGATAAGGTGATGGGGAATTAAGATGGAGGAATATTTTTTGTTAAGACTGGTTAACTTACATTAGATATTTAAGACTCATAGATAAATTAAATAATAAATACCGCAAGAGGGGGTGTAGTATTTATAGATGCAACAAATTATTACACTGGTGGAATAGTATTTCTTTAGTCTTAAATTAAAGATATTTATACCGAATAAGGAGCTGTTATCTATTTCAATGCCTTATAACTTTTTTAAGATCCATTTAGCTATAATTTTAAAATAGAGTCAACTGGAAACATATATGAATACTTCAATTACTTAAATATTGATTGGATATGACAAAATTTTTAAGATTTAAAATTTACACCCGATTCTCAATCTTAGTCAAGTTAATTAGAGCAAGAGAAGTATTTATTTTATTTTGCAAACAATTCAGCAATATCAACTTAATTTGACTATGATTATTTTGATACTACAAACTAAAAGTATTATGATTCCTTGATGCATTTTGGACAAGGTAGTCTACAAGCAATTAGTAACTCATAAATAAGAGGAATAAAGCCTGATCCTGGATTGTTTAATACTCTAACTCCTTCATTTAATTCGGTTTAAATTACCTGTATAAGATGCAATCTTATAATAACTAATAGTCTTTTAATGATTGATAGAACTTCAAAGTCAAGCTTTATTAAAGTTTTAACACAAGGATAAATAACTTTTGATTAAATTGAGCTAGTTGACTCTAATACCACTTCTATAGGGAGACTGATCACTATTGGTGGGTAATACTATTCTAATATCAATATATAGAACAGTTTTTTAAAGTTAAACTCTGGTAAAAATGAAGATAGTGAGATGAAAGCACTTATCTATTGTACTAATCCCTAAGCACGCTTCTTAATTTATTAAATTAACCTTGATTTCATAACTTAATCAGATATCTCATTTATATAAGCTATTGCAGTGGCAAGTATTTAAATTCATTAAGTGATTATAACTTAGATATAAACTGCTTCACTTGGTCAATTTTTAAGTGTTATATCATTAAATAAGTGTTAAGTATCAATGTTCTTAGTTGCGTTAACTTGCAGTGGTTTACCTTTTAATATTGATAATACTGCTATGATTTTATAGTAGGAGGAAATTTCAACTTCAAAGAGTGTATTTTATGCAGAAGGTGCTACAATAAATTCTTAATATAATTAAATGAGCAATTGTCTAATTGCAGATAAAGGTGCGATATATCAAACAAAGAAATCTGTTTTCAGAGATCAGTATTCAAATTACAAAGACATAGCAGCTTAAAGAGGTGCAGTAGGATATTTTGATAATACATAAGTTTATTTTAATTCAATAAATGTTGCTTAGACCATTGCTAAGATAGGTGGCTTACTAGAAATTTTCGGAAATAGTTTTTTAGAAATCAGTAATTCCAATATGGATAATCTTTGGGCTACTAAAAAAGGAGCAGGTATATATACTGAAGATAATATTAGTAAGATTACAATTAGTCTTATATATTCAACATTTCTGAGTTTCAATACAGAGCTAAACTCGCTAAGATTTGCAAACTTAGTAGACGGAGGTCTGATTTATGCGAAAGGTACGGGGATTAGTATATTGATATAATCATAAGTTTCGGTTTTTTATTTAGAAGCTAGTAAAGGATGCTTAATATATGCAGAAGGGATAAAATCTATCTAAATTGACACATTGAAATTCTATTATTCTTTATCTAATGCTATTTATGTAGTAGGTGAAACATAAGTGACTAGTACAAATAATTTTTTCTAATATTCATACTTTCCATTATCCTCAGACTACTTTGATCGAGATTACTTAAAAAATAATCATATATTCATTTCCTAACTCTCTGCAGACTCATAAAGCATTTTTATTATATAAGATGGAGTTTAACTTGTTAGTACATCAAATACATTTTAGAATTGTTATTTTGCTCCGAAGGGAGGAATTTTTTACGCACAAAATTCAACTTTAATTGATGATTTCTCAACATATTAAGGTGTTGGAGCTCAATAAGGAGGATTAATCTATACAAATAATGCAAATGCTACTCTAAGCAATTTCTTTGTTGAAAACTGTCTTGCTATATCTGGTGGAATGATATATCAAGATAAATTTTCACAAATTGAACTAAATTATGGATATATATTTCATGCAAGTGCGACTAAAGGAGCTGTAGTATATTCTTAAAATGATGAAGTTTGGGATAGCTTAAGTTAATAAGGTTAAATAAAATTTCCTAAATTCTTTGGTCAAGGAACAGAAATAAGATATACTTTAAGTGTTGAGGATGGAGGCACTTTTTATATTGATTCTATTGACATGTAATTTGAACTTCAAGATCTTCCATGCTCCACAACAGAATCAATAAATGGATTTGGAGGATTTCTATTTATTAATGAAGCTAATTCTATCATAATTAGCAACTTGTAGTTATTCGATTCATATTCAGCTAGTGGATAGCAAATCTATTCAGTGAAGGACGGATTAAACTTTGTTTTGTCTGGATCTGTTCTCTATTAGTATCAAAGATAGGCTTAAATGTTATACCCAGAACTTTAATATTAAGAAAATACAGGAGGTATTACTCTCATAAATGCCTAATCAGCATCATTTGTCTCCAACAATTTTATTGGCAATTTTTTCTCATAAAATGGTGGGGCATTATATATTTTAGGAGGGTCTATTTCACTTTATAGATGCATTTTTTCTAATATGTACGCACAGTATGGGGGTGCAATGTATCTGGAAAATCTTAAAGGTGTTGTTCTTTTAAATGTATATATATCTGGAAGTTTAGCTAGTAATGATGGGGGTGGAATATATATTAAGAATCCAAAAAAAGATGTCTAAATCTTGGATTCATATTTCAGTAGGATGGTTGCTGATAATGAAGGAGGATGTGTATATTACATAGTAGAAGAGGCTTCTAAGCAAGGAGATTGGAGTCCATTCGATGACTAAGTAGTAGCTCCTTCAACTTAATTTTAAACACTTGAGTTCACAAATGTGATGTTTACTACTGTTTAGGCTTTTAACGCTAGTTCAGTCTCAGTTTTTGGTTTATAAACAAATGTAAATTTTGCTTCCTGCTAATTGGTCTAATCATATGGCGAAGCTTATAACTCTATTTTCATAAAGTAGGCAAATTTGGTAGATATATCTAATTTTCATGTGGAAAGCATTTACTCAAGAAGGAATTCTGGTTTCTTGTATGTTCAATATGTAACATAATCCCTCAGTATTAGCTTCTCATAAATTTATTGCAGAACAGATCGTGATCAATACACTAATCCACCCTCTTCACCTTGGAGAAATTTAGAAGAGGAAGAAGTTTACTAATTACAAACCACAAATACTTAGAATGTAAGAAGAGAGTTTCTTAATATAAATAATTCCTTTACAAAGTATTTATTAATAGAAGCTTAAACTAATATAAAGACTGAAAGATCTCTATCATTTTACTTTGAGGGTATCGGATAGAACTTTTATTCAGATAAAGATATTATGACACCATTATTTTTTTATTCTGGAAAGTAGTTCTCGATTTAGAATCTTGTTATGTAAAATTGTATAATGAACAGATTATAAACTCGAAGGTCTCAATCTTTAATCGTTAATATTGCTAAGCAATCAACATTTTCAGATGTTAATTCTTACTATTAAGATGTTGAAGGACTCTATGGAGGAATCTATAGTTTCATTGAAGCTAATGTATATCTATTCAATAATACTGTAATTCGACTTGCAACTAATAATTATGGAGCAGTTCATTCTCATCACATTCAAAAATTATTCATGATGAATTGTACCTTTTCGTAAGTTAGAAATGTTGGAGGGAATGTTGCATTTGGAGGAATATTTTCATTTTTTAGTGATCAATATGATCATGTGAATTTGAGAACCGCGACTATCAGGAATTCAACGTTTGAAAATATAGAAATGGTGGTTGGAAGTGGAGGTTTTATTTATTAATAAGATGATGGATTGAATAGAATCGATATTGAATCTGTCACTGTAAGGAATATGTACGCTTAACAAAATGGAGTAATCTATTTGGCAGGACTTCCTACTGGCCTATATATTTCATCACATAGAGATTATCAGAAGACTGAATTTTCAAATTTCTTTTCTTTACAATCAACTTAGCTATTGTATGTTAATGAAGAATACAATAGATTAGACAACAAAGTGAATATAAAAAATATAACAGTTGACTGTCTAAACGAAAATACTTCTAAATCAGAAAGTTACAGACCATCTTAAGAAGGAATAATTCGCTATTCAGGTAGTGCTGGCTTATACACAGAGAACTGTATTTTTAGAAACTGTAGAAAAGCTTATCATGGACCTATAGTTAGAGTTGATAGGTCTGTATACAAAGATAAAGGATCTTAGTTTTATAATGTGATTGGCACATATGGCTCAGTAGTATCCTGCATACACTGCTAATTAATAATGGAAGACTCAATTATTCATGATGTTGAATCTATAGAATCAGGAGGGGCATTTTATATTTCAGGTTTAAGTGTTGTAACTCTTAAAAATATAACTGCCTATAATATCAAAGCAAAAATTTATGGAGGCTTTCTGTATAATGAACAAGATAGCTATGATGATTATTCTATAATAACTATTTAAGATTCAAAAAACATATCGAATATAAAATCTTAACAAGGTGGCTTCATACAAATTAATAATCCTTAGTCTAATATTACTCTAAAAAACGTTGAGCTAACCAAAATTTCTTCATAAGAGTTAGGAGGAATCTTCTATGTTATTGACTCAGATATGATTTCAATAGAAAATTCTAAATTGACAAATTTTAAGTCCCCAACAGGAGGATTCATTTCATCTTCTTCATTTTTAGCGAGATTGATGATTACATCATCAACAATAATATGTGATACAGAATATAATTAGGATTCAGAAATAAACTAGCTTTCTGGCTGGAACTATTAAAGTATAAATAAAGGTTAGTTTCAATTGCAAAATATTGTAAGCATATCTCTGAGGAATAACAATTTTTAAAAATGTGGATAATCATCTTAAGGAGGATTATTTTCTTTATAGAAGACTACATTTTCAGATTATAAATCAATATACAAAGATATTTCAGGTAAATATGGTGGTGTTATTTTTTCGTAGGATACGAAATTATCTTTGACGCAATCATAATTCATTGGAAACTTAGCATAAACTGGAGGTGCAATATATGCTGTATCAAATTCTAATATCAGCATATCATACAGTAGATTCGAGTAAAATTGGGCTCTAAAATCTGCTGGTGCAATATATGTCTCAACTCAATCGATCATAAAGATTATAGGTAGCTCATTTTAAGAAAACAAGGCTGAAGAGAATTCAGCTCTTGAAATTCTAAACACATTTATTCAAGAGAATGTCACAATTATTGATTGTGATTTCTAGGATAATTATGCCTAAAAAAATACTATATCAATGATTTATGCAAATGGAATATTTAAAGATCTTATATTCAAGGACAACCATGCTAAATAAAGGTCCAAAAATTTACTTCTGGGATTCGTCAATATTACTATATATAATACTCTTTTTCAGAGTAAATAACTAAATAGTGTAGCATTGCAAAATGATGAAACTATTGGCTCATTCATATTCTTGATTTTTGATGTGATAATGGATATTGATAATTGTAAGTTTTAAAACGGAGCTTCAAATTTTGGTGGTTCCGTCTACATTTCAGGAGATAGTATTATTCGAATCACAAATTCTTAATTTACAAATAATCAAGCTTATTCTAAAGGTGGAGCTATCTACTCCTCTGGTTTTAAGAGTATCTTCATAGGAGAAGGGACTTTATTCAACAATAACTCTGCTCTTGATAGTGGTGAGGATATTTATATTACTAACTCCTTTAACATATTAACCTTAGATAGAGTCACATTATCAAACTTGAATTCAAAGAATTCTATATATATTGAACAGGCTATTTTGCACGCGTAAAATTTGATCATAAAAGATATAAATCAAAATAAATTATCAAAGAGAGGAGCTGGATTATTTTGTA